TACACATCTGATGTGTATAAGAGACAGGTATTTCTCCAGGGCTTAGTGGTACATAATTCAGGTTGCCTAAAATCGGCCAAATCCGAGAACAAAAAAGGCCAAAAAAGGCCGATAATTCAATGTATACTAGTTTATTTGTTTACATCGCATGAATTAAACATGTCAGTGTTCATTCAGTATATACTGCTTAGTACCCATTCAGCGATGCCATTACACACTTTATTTTCAACAGTAGCCATTAAACACTTTCAGAATACGCCGTTTTCATTGAACACTTTCACAACACACTGTATTCATTGAACACTTTCACAACACACTGTATTCATTGAACACTTTCACAACACACTGTATTCATTGAACACTTTCACAACACGCTGTATTCATTGAACACTTTCACAACACACTGTATTCATTGAACACTTTCACAACACACTGTATTCACTACCAGCGCGCGTTGCCCGGCCATGAATGAAGCGACTCACGCGCACACGCGTATATGAGTCATGCCTCCACATACTTCACAGCTGGTTTCACTTTTAACAGCATTCTTATGTCATAATTCTTAAATAAAGTTAGTATATCGAACCTGAAAACCTGTTTTATGTTCTAGAAATGAGCCTTGAAAAAGCAGAAAAATTGAGCCTTGAAAAAGCAGAAAAAGCAGTTAAGTTCATTAACGCAATTGTGAGTTTTCAACAGACATTGAAATGCTAGCAAAAGCATCGGTATTGTTCATTAAAAAAATGATTTTTTATGTAGGGTAATATATGAAAGCTGTCGCATTAGCACTAGTACGTATAATTGTTTAGCTGTACTGTGGTTACTGTACCAATAAAACCTTAATAATATAGAAACGTTTACTAATCGTTTTATGAATATTTAGATTATTTTTAATTTAGATCGAGCGAAAATAAATTTTTGGTGTTCACTTGGTCGAATTCCAACCATTGAGTAATCGTTTTCAAAAGCACCCTCTTGTGTCAAGTGATATAATGCGATTAGATGAATGACATACATTCCAGATGTTGCGGATTTAGTTGAGTTATCCGCTATAAACAAGTATTCACGAATGTATGCAATATCTTCAAGTGAAGATACAGTTTTCATGTGTTTCCTCGCATAAATAAATGTAACACTTGAAGGATTCTAAGGATACCAAGGATGCACATGCACGTACGTAGCACGTATCAGTGCGACGTGCAGAACGAGTGTCAATGTTAAAAAATATGACCAATTATTTTTCTGAGTAAGCACGGCAAATCATGAAATGGAATCATCATCCTAGGAACTGTGTTGACATGTTTCAACGCTGTACCTGCATGGCAAGTCACGAAACAGAATCATCAGCCAAGTAACTGTGTTGACTCATGAGTCAACAGCTCCCGGTGTTGACGGCAGAGTTCACAACAAGCGCTTCTCACGCTCACGAGGCAATTTAATAGACTCTAATTGTACTGTTAGGTCTAACATGAAACTCGGTCGAAAGAAAATTTAGAGCTCGACTAAACAGTTTCTCTTTAGCCATGTGTTCAGAACAAATTTATAAAGATCTGCGTAGACGGCACGCTACCTGCTCCATTTCATACTCCGATGTGGTCTCTTCAGTTGCACTTTTTAAAGTTTACAACCCGATTTGTTTATATTCCGATTCATTGACAACCTGAGTCTTTAACGTTCCGATTCGTTGACAATCCGATTCTTCAACGTTCCGATTCGTTGACAATCCGATTCTTCAACGTTCCGATTCGTTGACAATCCGATTCTTCAACGTTCCGATTCGTTGACAACCCGATTCTTTCACGTTCCGATTCGTTGACAACCCGATTCTTTCACGTTCCGATTCGTTGACAATCCGATTCTTTAACGTTCCGATTCGTTGACGTTCGGGAGGGTGTCAGGAGGTGCCGCCCCACGCACGGCCGACCGTCATCGGCAGGGGTCGGGTTACGGTCGGTCGCGGTGCTCTGAGCAGCCGCCGCCCGCACTGCTGCTGGTCCCTTTCGTTGTTATGGTTGTGGTTATTCTTGTAGATCTTGTTACTGCTGTCCCGGGAGTTGCTGTTTTGGTTGTTATTATTGTTGGTCTCGAGGTTATTGTCATGTTATTACTGGTGCTTTCAGGCGCTTTGCCCTTCGTTATTATAAGTTTTTGAGTACAGCGTGTGTAACACGTATAGTACCTAGTGCACTTTACATGGGGTGTGTAGAGAACAGCGTGGGTGTAAATACATCGGTTCATGTGCACGTACTGCACGTAGCAACTGCATGAAATACGCATGCAACGTAAAGAGTGTTCATGAAGTGCACAAAGACACGCATGGTTCATGACCGCGCACAGCTTAAGAGTCCGTGCCCACTGCCTGAATGAAATTCAGAGCCACGATAAGCCAGCCGAGCTTTTCTACCCAGATTATATATATGAAGAGTAGAAAAATAAATTATAACTACAGTAAAAGTTAAAATAACTTCTTCAATGTTTTTGCAATGCGTTAGCCCTGCCAGAATGGGTGAGCTAAACTGCGACATGCGATCAATTTAACAGGAGTATTCAACTCGGCGCTGCAACCCGCGATAATTCTTTGCCCAGACTATAGGTGGTTCTTCGCATCCATGCGATGGTTGGGTGCTCCGGCATCAGGTTCAGGCAGCCATCATACCTCACCAGCATCAGGTTCAGGCAGCCATCATACCTCACCAGCATCAGGTTCAGGCAGCCATCATACCTCACCAGCATCAGGTTCAGGCAGCCATCATACCTCACCAGCATCAGGTTCAGGCAGCCATCATACCTCACCAGCATCAGGTTCAGGCAGCCATCATACCTCACCAGCATCAGGTTCAGGCAGCCATCATACCTCACCAGCATCAGGTTCAGGCAGCCATCATACCTCACCAGCATCAGGTTCAGGCAGCCATCATACCTCACCAGCATCAGGTTCAGGCAGCCATCATACCTCACCAGCATCAGGTTCAGGCAGCCATCATACCTCACCAGCATCAGGTTCAGGCAGCCATCATACCTCACCAGCATCAGGTTCAGGCAGCCATCATACCTCACCAGCATCAGGTTCAGGCAGCCATCATACCTCACCAGCATCAGGTTCAGGCAGCCATCATACCTCACCAGCATCAGGTTCAGGCAGCCATCATACCTCACCAGCATCAGGTTCAGGCAGCCATCATACCTCACCAGCATCAGGTTCAGGCAGCCATCATACCTCACCAGCATCAGGTTCAGGCAGCCATCATACCTCACCAGCATCAGGTTCAGGCAGCCATCATACCTCACCAGCATCAGGTTCAGGCAGCCATCATACCTCACCAGCATCAGGTTCAGGCAGCCATCATACCTCACCAGCATCAGGTTCAGGCAGCCATCATACCTCACCAGCATCAGGTTCAGGCAGCCATCATACCTCACCAGCATCAGGTTCAGGCAGCCATCATACCTCACCAGCATCAGGTTCAGGCAGCCATCATACCTCACCAGCATCAGGTTCAGGCAGCCATCATACCTCACCAGCATCAGGTTCAGGCAGCCATCATACCTCACCAGCATCAGGTTCAGGCAGCCATCATACCTCACCAGCATCAGGTTCAGGCAGCCATCATACCTCACCAGCATCAGGTTCAGGCAGCCATCATACCTCACCAGCATCAGGTTCAGGCAGCCATCATACCTCACCAGCATCAGGTTCAGGCAGCCATCATACCTCACCAGCATCAGGTTCAGGCAGCCATCATACCTCACCAGCATCAGGTTCAGGCAGCCATCATACCTCACCAGCATCAGGTTCAGGCAGCCATCATACCTCACCAGCATCAGGTTCAGGCAGCCATCATACCTCACCAGCATCAGGTTCAGGCAGCCATCATACCTCACCAGCATCNGAGGCAGCAAGTGAGGCAGCAAGTGAGGCAGCAAGTGAGGCAGCAAGTAAGGCAGCAAGTGAGGCAGCAAGTGAGGCAGCAAGTGAGGCAGCGAGGGGAGCTTCAAGTCTTCAACCAATTTATTAACAGCCTCGCACTGACCCTCGCGTCTGGCTCAGAGATACGGCTGCTGGCTGCAGCTACACTCAATGTAATAAAGGTTTATTTAATGATTATGTTGAATATATAGAGAATATTTAATTGTACTCATATATCTGTGACTCATCGCTATAGTGACTTCAGAGAGAGAAAAGCATATATCTTAAGTTTATTTCTATCGCATCGTCATGTCTAAAATAATAATACGAATAACTAGGTGGTTACGCAATAATGTGAGCTTGCTCCAATTGTTGAACCGTTACAGCAATAGGGTGGGCGTCAAATGTTGAACCGCTATAGCAATAGGGCGGGCGTCAAATGTTGAACCGCTATAGCAATAGGGCGGGCGTCAAATGTTGAACCGCTATAGCAATAGGGTGGGCGCCAAATGTTGAACCGCTATAGCAATAGGGCGGGCGTCAAATGTTGAACCGCTATAGCAATAGGGCGGGCGTCAAATGTTGAACCGCTATAGCAATAGGGTGGGCGCCAAATGTTGAACCGCTATAGCAATAGGGCGGGCGTCAAATGTTGAACCGCTATAGCAATAGGGCGGGCGTCAAATGTTGAACCGCTATAGCAATAGGGTGGGCGCCAAATGTTGAACCGCTATAGCAATAGGGCGGGCGTCAAATGTTGAACCGCTATAGCAATAGGGCGGGCGTCAAATGTTGAACCGCTATAGCAATAGGGTGGGCGCCAAATGTTGAACCGCTATAGCAATAGGGCGGGCGTCAAATGTTGAACCGCTATAGCAATAGGGCGGGCGTCAAATGTTGAACCGCTATAGCAATAGGGTGGGCGCCAAATGTTGAACCGCTATAGCAATAGGGCGGGCGTCAAATGTTGAACCGCTATAGCAATAGGGCGGGCGTCAAATGTTGAACCGCTATAGCAATAGGGTGGGCGCCAAATGTTGAACCGCTATAGCAATAGGGCGGGCGTCAAATGTTGAACCGCTATAGCAATAGGGCGGGCGTCAAATGTTGAACCGCTATAGCAATAGGGTGGGCGCCAAANCACCTGTAACACTACCAACGCACCTGTAACACTACCAACGCACCTGTAACACTACCAACGCACCTGTAACACTACCAACACACCTGTATCTGGAAGAGAGTGTAGGTATCGTCCAGCATTAGGATCTTTACAGCTAGCATCTTGCCGCCCCCCGACTTGTGTGGCGTGGCGGGTGGCGTGCGACCGGCCCCCGCCGTCCCAACCGCCACCTCGCCGCCGTTGGTGGTGGCGGCGGTGGCGGAGGAGCGGTTCAGAGACGCCGTGTTGCCGACGCTGTTGCTCAGGGTGCCGGAACTGCTAACGTCTGCACCCGCCATCTTCACTTAACTTCACTTACGTTAGTTTGTCAATAGCCTCGCTAGTGACTAATTATTATTATTGACTAATTCACTTTTAGTTGCCTTGGTGTATGGTGGCCTCGCACTTGTATGCGGTAACTACCGTCACTGGTCACGGTGTACACGAACTAGCGCCCACATTTATATGAATTAACTAGTCAACTGGATTAATTTTTTCACCACTCCTAGTATTTTTTTTCACTGCTACTATTCGAAACACTAATAGTATTTTAATCACAACTGTAATTTGTAACACCAACACAGATTTGCCACGGCAACACTTTTAAAATATGTTGAGCTAAAACACATGTAAATTGTTGCACGACTGTACAGTTCAGGAATTAAGAGTATAGAGCATTCTAAGCACTACATATTTTCGGTACAATAAGCTGCAACCAATAAACTGAAAATCAAAGTTTCGCCACACTTTCCTGGCTCAAAAAAAACAAAACCTATTGCTTAACTTTTATACTAAAATTTACTGATTTGAAAGCAAATCGTGCACGTTTTCCACAGTTCTGCAAGATAACAAAACAGCAAACTAATTATCATTGCTAAGCTCGCATCAAATGATGTCTCATACAATAACCTATACGCTTAGTTGATATTAACTGTTAAGTTAAGTACAGTACGTGTAACAAATATTGATAATACCGTCTGAAATATCTTAAACAATTCTACGCCCAATTAAGATAACTTTTCTTTTCAGATGCAGATGGTAAAATTAGCTCAAAAATATTTCATGCCGTTTCGGAAAATTTAAATAGAAGAATACTAAAGATTTATTTGAAACCTGAGTGATACGTTACTGAGATCAAGAAGCCAAGGCATGAGTCTCAATATTTTGACAAACATTTATGGTGAAGGAGCGGTCAGAGCAAAAAAAAGATATAAATTAAAATCTTCAGCAGTGCTAATCCCTTATTAGCATTGTGCATGCCAAGAATTTTCAATTTTATTATCAACTAGTGACAGAAATTTATGGCCAGTTTACCTCAAGCACGTAATTTGAAAAAAAAATAATAAGACTTCCACCCCAACAATTTCCTGTTACAGAGAAGAGGCCCCATAGTTCAGCCGAATCCAACAACTAAAAATTTCAAAACAATTTAAATTTTATAGAACATTTATGTTTAGTTTCAACTTTATGAAACATTTATAGGTAGATTGTTTTTTTCCAACACACTGTAAATTGAGAAGTTTAAGCGAGTAACGTTAGCGAGTCTGCGGAGCTCGCAGTGCACTGATAACTTCTTCACTTCGAGGTGAAGAAAAAGTGAGGAAGAGACGATGTGGGGAGTGTGAAGAGGTCCCTGGGGATTGCGGGGAGAGCGGCAGCCTGGGGAAGAGAAAACAAATTCGTTACTCGACAAGTAAACAGCAACGCGGGGAAGATGCGAGGGGAACATGGGGCCGTGGGGACACATGGGGCTGTGGGGACACATGGGCCGTGGGGACACATGGGGCTGTGGGGACACATGGGCCGTGGGGACACATGGGGACGTGGGGACACATGGGGCCGTGGGGACGCATGGGGACGTGGGGACACATGGGGCCGTGGGGACACATGGGGCCGTGGGGACACATGGAGCCGTGGGGACACATGGAGCCGTGGGGACACATGGAGCCGTGGGGACACATGGGGCCGTGGGGAAAGAAGGTGCATGCACTCAAAAAAATAACAACATAACAACGTCGGCTTTGAAGAATAGGACAAGTTTGCCTGTCGCCTATTCCTATAATAATAACATAAATTTAATAGGTCATGTTGTCTACATTGTGACACACTTTCTGAACGCGGCCCTATTGCTGGAGGCAACTGGGCCAGGATACACTAGAGCAAAAAGTGCATCGTAATTTGGACAAAGTTTCACTCATTTCTATGAGAGTGAGAAAATGAGAACTGGACACCCTCAAACTAATGAAAATGGTAAGGTTCTGTCATTAATGTACCTATATTTAAATTTATAGATATTGGATTATAATCGTAAATTTATGTGACATTAACATATAACAGGAACACATACATGAATGAACATTAATACGGGAGATTAAACTCCTAATAGGAAATAACATGAAACTATATGTATAAACTAATACACAGAGATATAGGACGAGATATTAAAAAAATTCTAAATATGGAAGCCATGAATCTAAATGATCCTGCACCGAATACCGTTCTATAAAAATTGTATAGCATCGGGTTACATAAAAAATCAAACGGAGCTTGAAACAAACCAACACAACGAACGAACTACTCGAACCTGTACTTGCAGGTAATGATATGTAACATAAGAGTACAGAATGTACTCGTAACACAGCACGGACACAGAGTACGAGCACACAGCATGAGCACACATCTCAAACACAGCCCGTGTACAGCACAAGAGGAACAAGCACAGCAGAGACAGCGTAAGCAACCGCACTAGCAACTGTGTTGCACAGCACAGCACAGCACAGCACAGCACAGCACAACACAGCGCTATCGCTGCTTGTCTGCCTGGCGACGGTGGCAGCTCAAACCTATAAGCGTATATTGCGTATAGTGACTGCTGCGCTCCATGCGTATAGCAGCAGCAGCAGCTGTAGCAGCTGTAGCAGCAGCTGTAGCAGCCGTAGCAGCAGCAGCAGCAGCAGCAGCAGCAGCAGCAGCAGCAGCAGCAGCAGCAGCAGCAGCAGCAGCAGCAGCAGCAGCAGCAGCAGCAGCAGCAGCAGCAGCAGCAGCAGCAGCAGCAGCAGCAGCAGCAGCAGCAGCAGCAGCAGCAGCAGCAGCAGCAGCAGCAGCAGCAGCAGCAGCAGCAGCAGCAGCAGCAGCAGCAGCAGCAGCAGCAGCAGCAGCAGCAGCAGCAGCAGCAGCAGCAGCAGCAGCAGCAGCAGCAGCAGCAGCAGCAGCAGCAGCAGCAGCAGCAGCAGCAGCAGCAGCAGCAGCAGCAGCAGCAGCAGCAGCAGCAGCAGCAGCAGCAGCAGCAGCAGCAGCAGCAGCAGCAGCAGCAGCAGCAGCAGCAGCAGCAGCAGCAGCAGCAGCAGCAGCAGCAGCAGCAGCAGCAGCAGCAGCAGCAGCAGCAGCAGCAGCAGCAGCAGCAGCAGCAGCAGCAGCAGCAGCAGCAGCAGCAGCAGCAGCAGCAGCAGCAGCAGCAGCAGCAGCAGCAGCAGCAGCAGCAGCAGCAGCAGCAGCAGCAGCAGCAGCAGCAGCAGCAGCAGCAGCAGCAGCAGCAGCAGCAGCAGCAGCAGCAGCAGCAGCAGCAGCAGCAGCAGCAGCAGCAGCAGCAGCAGCAGCAGCAGCAGCAGCAGCAGCAGCAGCAGCAGCAGCAGCAGCAGCAGCAGCAGCAGCAGCAGCAGCAGCAGCAGCAGCAGCAGCAGCAGCAGCAGCAGCAGCAGCAGCAGCAGCAGCAGCAGCAGCAGCAGCAGCAGCAGCAGCAGCAGCAGCAGCAGNGTAGAGGCAGCAGTCATCAATCATTTCATCTATAGCGCATCGTGTGTTGCTGTTGTTGTTGCTGCTGTTGCTGTTGTTATTGTTGTTGTAGTTGTTGTTATTGCTGCTGTTATTTTGGTTGTTGTTATGGTTGTTGTCGTCGCTATTGTTGTTGTTGTCGCTATCGTTGTTGTTGTTGCTATTGTTTTTGTTATTGTTGTTGTTGTTGCTATTGTTTTTGTTATTGTTGTTGTTGTTGCTATTGTTTTTGTTATTGTTGTAGTTGTTGCTAGACACTCGTGCCTCGCGCTCAACGTATCTCAAGCGCCGCTACGACGTATCGGATGACTCACTTTTCGATGACACACTTTAGTGACAACAGCACCAAGACTCATCAGGTGAACTGCCACAACACAAACCCTTTACTACCTAAAAACTAATGCTATTCCTACCTACACAATAGATGCTACCTATTCCTAATGGACCTACCTATACAATATATGCTATTCAAAATGCTGTACCTACCTATACAATACATGCTATACATAATGCTATTCCTACCTTTACAATACATGCTAATCATAATGCTATACCTACCTATACAATACATGCTAATCATAATGCTATACCTACCTATACAATACATGCTACACATAATGCTATTCCTACCTATACAATACAAGCAATTCCAAATGCTATTCCTTCCTCTACAACTAACGCCATGCCATAATTGGATCACGAGAAATTCCTCTCTCACAATAGCAGAGATTTCTTTCAATGTCGTTTAAAGCGATGAAAGAATTGAACTTAACGAAATAATTTGTAATTTCGCTGCCAAGCTTCAATATATTAGTTATAAACTACGAGGTAACAAAGAAGAATATACAGGAATATTATTCATCATAGAATTATCATGGTACGGTGCTACGTACCACGTACTAGGTACAGCACCACGTACTAGGTACAGCACCACGTACTAGGTACAGCACCACGTACTAGGTACAGCACCACGTACTAGGTACAGCACCACGTACTAGGTACAGCACCACGTACNAGATCGAGTGAACGAGAGATCGTGTGAACGAGAGATCGTGTGAACGAGAGATCGAGTGAACGAGAGATCGTGTGAACGAGAGATCGAGTGAACGAGAGATCCTGTGAACGAGAGATCGAGTGAACGAGAGATCCTGTGAACGAGAGATCGAGTGAACGAGAGATCCTGTGAACGAGAGAAAGAGTGGACGTGTGAACGAGATATCGTTCGGTCGTTCGGTTGATCAGAAATTGTTGTCAATCGCTTCACGCTGATGACATTGGCTCTTTGAAACAATCAGAATATCATACTATTGATATATTTACTACTTCACTGTTGATATACACTGTTGATGTACATCAGTGTTGTTACATCACTGTTGTTACATCACTGTTTTTAAATTCAAGAAGGGGATCTGAAACAGCTAGTTGAACTGGACAGCAATGGAGATGTTTTGCTTTGCAAATTTCTCTTTGATTCTGAGGAGACAAGCAAAAAAAAATTTACACATCTTATGCATGTAAATTTTGGTAATCAGAGCAAATTTGTTGGTGGCAATTTCATCATAAATTTATATATTATTTCTATATAATTGAAGTAAAACAACAACAACAATTTCCTTCATATCCTGACACACCAAGAAATACATTTATTTATAATGCATATTAAAATAAATAAGGCAAAGCTTGGGTTTAAGAGAAATATCAGGACATTCACTATACTCAGAGAAATTAGCAAGACTGTGTCCAAATAGTGATAAACTTTGTCCTTGCATGGGTCATCTTGACCCAGCTTGGCCTTAAAAGGAAGTATCAGAGCCATATACATGCAGAAAGTGCGTCACTATTAGGACAATATGACCCATTCCTTTTCCCATTTTAATTACGCTATTTTTAGCGCATTTTCTCATTTATGGAAAAAATGCATTATTGTGCTCGCCATGTCCGTCCGTCTGTCCATCTGTCTGTCTGTCTGTCTGTCTGTCCGTCCGTCTTTCTGTCCGTCCGTCTGTCCGTCCGTCTTTCTGTCCGTCTGTCTGTCCGTCCGTCCGTCCGTGACATCAAGTTTTCGTTGACAGAAAATGAGCTCTCTGTCACTCACTGCAGTGAGTACTGAGTTATATTTTTTGTACATATTTACTTAAAGTTTAATACTAGCAAGTTTACACCCTTTTCCACATGAGAGCAGCAAAGCTCATTGAAGGAAGAGGGAAAATGTAATATCAAAAGATCTTATATAAACATGAGACTATACATATATTACTCTAATGAATAAGCTAATGTAATAGTGTGCATTATATATGCATATATCTATGATGTGAGGTAGGTATACCTATACATACTAGTAGAGGTTACAATTGCTGTAGAAACTTGATTACATTCATATGAAAATAGTTTTGAAAATTAATGTAATACTATATAAATAAAACTTTTACTGTCCAAATTAAAAAAAAAAATGTCCAGCTCATCAATGGCTTTCAAGTTCCAAGATCTAAAAAGCATTTAATTAACAAAATATTTAAGTAAGAGTAATAGTTAACATTTACTAAATCTTCTCTAATCATACAATGTTATGCCTGGTAGATGATGGACTGATGTTGCATACAAGCATTTTGGCAAAAGATTATTTTCAAAAAATTCAAATTACCTGATTTACTTCAAGATTTTGCTCAATTTCTTCTCTATGATAATGCTGGTTAGCTGGTACATATGGTAGGTACTTACTGGTTTACTTATACTACGACTCAATGGGGAAAAGTAACAGAAAAGTCTCATTTGCCACTATGCATACATCCTGATCCTGATTTGTATTCTTTTAGATTCATCACAGACCCAGTGTATACAAATAGTTATTATAGGTATAGGTATATATTATAGGAATTATAGGTATATAGAAATTATAGGTATAGGTATAGTAATTATAGATATATAGGTATAGGTACTGTCATACTAATATACCTAGCAGCACATTCCATTGACAGGATATAGAAGTCAATGCTGATTATTATACTCATGGTATCGGTATGCCTTGTTGCCGAATGCCGACCATATTAATAATACTGCGTTGCTAATGATAGGCTTTGTTGCTGAATGATGAAATTGATGATAAATCTTCAATTTTGTTCCTAAATATCCTAATCCATGTAGCTTATTATAGGATGCTACGTTGCTGATTATATAGGACGATATTCCTACACATCTTCAAACACTTGCTAAATATAGGATGCTATCAGCCCGCAAGCAACGTCACGGGCATAGCCAGGCATAGGTCTATCTTGAAGTTGCGATATGTATCCTATAGTCCGATACATTGTTACACTAAATATAGGATGCCACGTTGCTGACTATATAAAACGATATTCCTAGATACCCTATAGTTCTGTAACTCCAATACATTGTTGCTAAATATAGGATGCTATCAGCCCGCAAGCAACGTCGCGGGCATAGCCAGGCATAGGTCTATCTTGAAGTTGCGAAACTCGACAGACGACGAGGATGCCGATAGCCGACAAGCAGCGTAGCGATCGCGGTCGAGCCGCTCAGGCATTAAAAAAACAACAAAAAAAGGAGCTTTAAATATTAAGAAACGTCAAATGTAAGTATTACCGTTTAGATCTTTATCAATTTTCAAAAACGAACCTAGGCCCAAATCAAGTCGTGTTGTACTGGTTTGAACTGAAAGACACCCATCCACATTTGGAGCCTTGCCACTTACTGGCACAAATGGTACCCACTTTAACAATACAAGGCTAAAATTTACGTGTAGGAGCGGCCTACAGCACTCACCGGTCTGAGATACACACATGAGATTTACTAAAAAGTTTAATACGAAATTTCTTTCTAAACGCGCACTGGATAGCACATAGGGTCAGAAACAGGAATCACCAAACATAACCTCCACTCAGAACAGTCATAGTGATACTGGCGAGTGTGGCAGCCAGCTGGCGCTGTGGCGGCGACTGGCTGGGAGTATAGGACGTGTGGCTGGCAGTCTAGGAAGAGTTCTGTGCAAAATACCGTCAGCGACAATGTTCATCAAAATTAAATACGACTATATAGGACATTTTCGTAGCTTCTTATCTTTGAAAGAAAAAATATCTCTTTGAAAGTGGCTTCTTTAATGCTGTAGAGTGCGCGGCATGCTTTAAATCTGATATAAACAACAGATAATGAAGTCTCGAAATGAGGCACTTCCGATTGTATTAATTCAACCGTGCTTCCGATTTCCGAAGTTTGATTGATCGCAAATTAGCATCCGCAACGCAACACGATTTTTTGTTATACAACCTAGGTGGTTATGTTAAATTTTATCAACGAATAAAATATGCATCAAGCCTTAAAACGGAATCAATACCACAGACTTCTCATCTGAATGCCGAGTTTAAAATGAGTAAATCGTAAACAAGTGAATCCATTACTTCTATGATATTTCACTACTCTTTTTCTTCACGTATTAACAAGCGACATTGATGTAAATGAACGAAATTCCCAGTAATATAAGTCTTGAATCACGTGCAGCTCATTATTTACCATGTAAAAACGACTAGAATTCTTGTTTTGAGTAAAAAAGTCGCCAGAGGAGCGGCCAATAGAAGTTACGACCAATTGGTGGGCTATGTTACGGGTTACTAATTCGTAACTATTCTTGATAGACCGGCCCATGGTCTAGGCGGGGGTAGAACTGCCCGAAATTGGCCCAGTTGCGGCCATGTGAATTGATTATAATTAATTAAATCAACTGAAAAAGCGCCTCAACAGACCCCAGTCACACCACGCAACAGACCCCATAGACAGGGTCTAATTAACAGTCCACAGTACAAAGGCAGGTTATTGAAGAAGTATGCGTGATTATGCAATTTTATTTCGAGTTTTATTTACAGGAATTTTAGAATGTGAACAAGTCAGGGAAGAAATGGTTTAACAACGCAGCACATCATCGCGGTGACGAACACTAAAGCCACGTTGTGTTAACACTTCACTTGAAAAAAATTAATGGAACGTATTGTCCAAAATAGTGACACACTTCCCACACGTAGCATAACTACGACTATTTTCTCGGACCAAACTGTGTCAGGATGACCCACGCAACTGAAAAAGTGCATCGTTATTTAGACAAAGTCTCGCTTATTTCTCTGGGTGTTTAATTCGTCGACCACGCTAACATTTTTCAAGTTAAAGGCTGTACAAAACACTAAAGCCACGTTGTGTTAACACTTCACTTGAAAAAAATTAATGGAACGTATTGTCCAAAATAGTGACACACTTCCCACACGTAGCATAACTACGACTATTTTCTCGGACCAAACTGTGTCAGGATGACCCACGCAACTGAAAAAGTGCATCGTTATTTAGACGAAGTTTCTCTTATTTCTCTGGGTGTTGAATTCGTCGACCACGCTAACATTTTACAAGTTAAAGGCTGTACAAAACACGGCAGTTAACCGCGGGCCTTTATTTCATATATAAATCAAATACAATTCGATGAATTTATATTATAAAGATAGAATATTTCATCGTCAGGCAACCATTGCAGCACTCACAGGAATGAATGTGTCGTGTTGTCCATATTGTGACACGCTCTCCGTATTTATCACTGACACGCCCTTGTGCCGGGCCCAAGTGAGTCGAGACGTCCTCAGCAATAGCAAATATTACATCGACATTTGGACAATTCCCATTCATTTCTCAGAGTGTGCTGGTTCATGACAATATTCAACACAAAAGATTAAGTGCCATGTTCATGTAGGAATATACAGCATACATTCGTGTAGGAATATACAGCATATATTCATGTAGGAATATACAGCATATATTCATGTAGGAATATACAGCATACATTCGTGTCGGAATACGTACGCTATACATCACACAATAGAAATGAAGTTGTGTATGCCAGACCTGCTCTACCGTAAATATCTTAGTCTAGGTGCTATGTACAGAATTACCTGCCACTACGTACCCCGCTAGTGATGGTACTAGTCACCCAACATATTACCCGCTAGTGAAGGTACTAGTCAACGTATTACCCGCTAGTGATGGTGATTAGTGCGAACTATGATTCCAACAAAGTGAACCAGCACTCAGATAATTAACAGGCATATTGTCCAAATAGTAACACACTTTCTTCATAGAGCGGACGTAGCACAGATATATACACCCTTTGGTCGGCCACCCTTGCGTCAGGATGACTCACTCACAGGCCAAAAAGTGGGTCATTATTTGGGCAAATTCTCGTTCATTTCGCTGAGTTCAGCAAACGAGTAGAAGCTGTTCAAATCCGATGAAAAAAAATCTACAAGTCACAACAAATTTAAATGCAAGGTGAGCATCGCGGAGTTACTCAGTTATTCACTCGGTCAAGTCATATAATGAATTGTATGAAATATTTAGTGAAGTTGCTCAATAAATAATAAAAATTTTCACATGGAAGCAAAGTTACGCTGCGTGGCAGACTGAAAATAACGAACGTGAAATTTAAAAACTGGAGTTGTACGAGTTGCAACGCATTACAAGCCAATTAAAATTGAAAACTTTGATAAAACCTGTGAGGAAAAAATGACCAAAAATTCTCTCGAGTGACATTGACGCTGTCACTGGTGAATGACACTCACACGGTCACTGGTGAATGACACTCACACGGTCACTGGTGAATGATGAATACGAGTGGCATGAATATAACATCACTCTGAACTGATCGAGTGTTGACAACAGCACAATTCTCTAATCACAAAATGAACATAAAGTTTAAAAGGAATCTCAGTTTGTAAACATTCAATGGAAATATAACAGTAAATTGATGAAAATTATCAGATAACAGAACAGATGATAAGCATTATATTGATGACAGATAATCAATGGAAAAATAAAACCAGCACACATCGGCCATGAGCCTAAATCACGCACGAATAAATAACTATACTTCAAAATCTGAACAAAGAGTCAAAGACAGGAAAAAATGTGAAACCATCATAAATTATAATGTACGGTGACCGAACCCAGGTGCTAAGCTACAGATCTGAGGACTACGCTTAACTATGGGCGCTATAGAATAGTTATTGCTGTTACTGTACACTTTATACAAGCGTTCCTCAGCACTGGGAGGTGTACTGCAGCGTGAACTATCAGGTAAACTGCAGCGTGACATGCAGAAATAAATGCAGGGATAAAAGTGCTGCACTTTCCCTGTCAAGGCCTGAGAGCAAGTGGGTGTACTTCCAAATGTCATAATAGCGCTACACTTCACTTCATCACTCCACGCTATTATAGCACTTCATCACTCCACGCTATTATAGCACTTCATTTCTCCATGCTATAAGAACTTCACTTCAATGCTATTATAACATTTCATATCCATGCAATAAAAATGTCCACTTCACATCTCCAAGAATTAAGAGCTTATCAAAGTTTGCACAGTTGCTGACCTCAGGACCACAAACCTTCATTAGACTTCATGAGTTCCGTTCTGAGATCTCACCATCATTATTATCACCAAGTGTGGTGATGAAACATCATTATCAACACCATGGTTATCATGAAGTGTGGTCAGTAAAATCTTGCATGGAATCCTTGACAAGAATTTCTGCCATGAGCTTCGCATTTTACATACACTTTCCTCTAAATCAACATTTGTGTTAACATTTGTGAACCTCATTCCAGGCAGTAATATAATATAGTACAACTTTCAAGCGAAAATATAACCATAACTATAGCATCAAAAATAGTAAACAAAGTAATTACAATGAATTGCTATTATTACATTGAATGGTTCGTTATAAAGTTAATGAGGGCATATTCAACACCAGCAACTGTGTGGTAGTCAGAAAAATGCATGGGTAATATTGTCCGAATAGCGATACACATTAGTGACACACTTAGCACTGAGGCGTCTTTTTTGCCGAGCAAAATGGGTCAGGATGACCCAAACAAGTGCATAAAAATGCATCGTTGTTTGTACAAAGTCTCTTAATTTTTCTGCATGTACGCGGCTGACGTCACTCGCTGAACCTAACCTCTTCACTGACAGCAAGTCAGCGAGGAACCAACTGATCAGTCAGCAGGAAAGTCTTGTATTTCACAATCAGTTATATTTACTGAATATATTATACACATATAATATATTCTAAGATGCATCCCACGGCCACCCTCGTCAACAGTATCATGGAAATTATTTCAAATATACAAAATCTTGAATTATAAGACACGACATTTTAAACTCGCAGCAAAAGACACACCAAACAGCGCTGCCAAGTTTCGCACTTCACCTAAAATACTTGAAATTCAAAGAAAAAAACACACAAAGAAATATATATTCCCTAGGCTTAGAGATAAAGGAAAACCTAAGGGCTGTGAGGTTCTCATGCACATGCTGCTCTTATTGGTAGTAATTGTATGCTTATTGTTCAGAGTAATTACAATAGAACGAGAGATTAATTCACATATTCACAATAGAAGATCGGTGCAGTAAACTCTTATTATACACAGCTTAAAAAAAGATGCAGGCGCAACTAAAGGACGCAAATGTTTAAATAAAAACGCTCGTCTAAACAACAACAAGAACAATAACAATAATTTAACTGCAGAACCGCCACAAAACACCAATACAACTCATTAAATAAGTCATGTATAACTCGTTCTACAAGTGGTAGCACAAAGAACAACCAGGAGAACTTGTTCATCCAACAGCGTTCGATGTGCGTCTGTTCGAGCGTGGCCTGGGACTGCTACATCCGAAAATGCAAATGCAATAACAAACACGGAGAGCACGTTTGTCATGCGGGTTGTGCACTAGCATTCAAATGCCAAGGAATAATTCGCTCTGCGCAAGCTCATCAAATTTAGTGCGTTTTCGCCACCACATTCCTGGTTTCCCTCAATGAAGCCACTTCAACCACTTCAACATACTAATATTCGATCAAAGCAACATAATTCCAACCCTGCAACATAATTACATTTGATAAAAATAACCTAATTCTCATCCCTACCAAATAAACATCCCTGAATATCCATAGACTTTGATTGCCAAGTGACCCCCTTCAGGCTATTAGAAGATGTCTGTCTAGCCATACTTGCACGACCTATCAATGCTTTACGAAAACGATGCACTGATAGACATAAATTAGATAGAATGAACAATCAGAAGTCAGCAATTGTAACAATAATAACACAAATACCTCTACTAATCCAGCAGCCATCATCGTCCCAAAGAAGACCAACGCCATTCCAGTCCACTATTGTACCTCGGTCGTACCCACAAACTTGCATACCAAAGCCCGAGTTTCTACCTCATAGTTTGGACTCTCATTCTGAATATTCTACCAGGATCCCGGCATTTTGCTCCATGAATTGTGAACACACTAGATGTAGCTAACTAATAAATTTTGTAATTACAATGAACAAATAACAATACAAATTAAAAGCTATACAAGCATCAAATGAGCCTCTTCAGTCGTACACTTCAGACACTAATCTGCAATTCTTTGTCAAGTGAAGAGGCACAAGACGAAGAGAAACCATTATAATTGTTGCCGGAAACTAATACAATTCTTTTGGTATAATTAGAAGAAGTTACACCAGCCTAATTCTTATGTAGGAAATAATTGTACTAAGTTATGATTCGTTAGAGAGCACGGCGCGAAGAACCGACGGGCCGCTTTATTTCATAGTCGGTCCGTTTTATTTCACAGTCTGACTGTTTTAGTTCACAGTCGGACCGTTTTAGTTCACAGTCGGTCCGTTTTATTTCACAGTCGGTCCATTTTATTTCACAGTCGGACCGTTTATTTCACAGTCGGACTGTTTTATTTCACAGTCGGGCCGTTTATTTCACAATGGGCCGTTTATTCCACTCGGGCCGTTTTATTTCACAGGCGCAGGGTAGCCGGACGCGTTGGACTGGTTGCCAGCGACCCACGTGCTGAACACATCCCTGCAACCAGGCAAGTCTTGTTAATGACATGCATGTTTGTACATTCACTTCAAAACTATTCAAATATAGTCTATGATGAAGCTTATACATTGGTTTAAAAACTAATTAACTACAGTCTATCACCTATCTTTATACTATATCACTTACTATTACATCCACACAATCTAGCGCGTTCGAATCACAATATTTTGACGAATCTTTCACACACAGATATGAATATAAAAATAAATTACAAAAACGCTCCAGAGTAGTTTGCTGAGAAAACATTTTGGTCAACACAGAAGAACATTACCTGTAGCCATGGTTCCAATGAGCCATTGCAGCTCTGAACAAATAACTAATATTAAAAATGTATTTTGTATATGCATTGTGCTTATATATACATACCCTTAGAAAGTACTCTTTTTTGGGAATCTCAGATCGTTTTCTTTCCACTATTACATTGATAAAGCCCCAGATACCGACCCCTGTACTATTTGCCTGTCCACTAGTTCCCCCTGCACTAGTTCCACCAGTCCACCCTCCACTTCCCCTCCACAAGCCCCAGGTACCTTCCCCCTCCACTAGATCCCCCTCCCCTAGCCCCACTCACCGGCAGTGGTTGACGACACACTCATCACTGCAGTACTAGCCCACTCACCGGCAGTGGTTGACGACACACTCATCGCTGCAGTACTCGCCCACTCACCGGCAGTGGTTGACGACACACTCATCGCTGCAGTACTCGCCCACTCACCAGCAGTGGTTGACGACACACTCATCACTGCAGTACTATGTTGTTGTTGAGAGCCGCCAGTCTTGTTGTTGTCTGTATCACCACCGTTGCTGTTGTCATTTGTCACGTTGTTATTGTTGTTGTTGTTGAGGTTGTTGTTGTTTGGGGAAGGAGTCATGGCTAAATTGCTGTTATTGTTGCTGTTGTTGTTTGGGGAGTTGGAGTTAGAGGATGAGTTAATCAAAGTAGTTGAGTGATGTTGTTGTTGTTGCTGCTGGTGATGATGGTGCTGAAGTTGTTGTTGTTGTTGGTGATGATGGTGATGTAGTTCAGGAGATGCTTGAGGTGTTTGATGGTATTGTTGTTGTTGTTGTTGAGCATATTGCTGTTGTTGTTGTGGCGGGCTGTGCTGAGCCTGCAACAATAACAATATCGTTATCATCTCATGTAGAATACAAATATTTAAGAAAATGCAACGAAGTTAATATTGTTATATTATCTTTAAGAAGTAAGAAGAATGAACGATCATGCCAAGACAATGTGTATGATATCACCAAAGGTTTAAGGCAGAAACTTGCATCATTCATCATAATGCAGGGATTAAAAAATTTAAATTGGTAGACTCCAGTTAATACTTCGTGTATATCAACATCAACACATTAAGCAGTAGCAGTAAAAAGTATCATGTGTTAAGCATTAGAATCTAACTGAGACATTAAACTTAATAAACATAGCATAAAATAGAAACATTGAACTTAATAAACATAGCATAAAATAGAAACATTGAACTTAATAAATATAGCATAAAATTGAGACATTGAAGATTGAACTGAATAGATATACCTAGCATAAAATTGAAAGATTATGCAAATTTTCAATGCGAAAGAATTGGAACATATAAGCAACTACTCCACTGAAATCATGCAGCGTAGCTTCGCTTTAACATGAGATGTCCATGTTATTTTAACTAGTTTTTTTCCTTAAAATTACCAAAAAGTAATCTACAGCCTTAAAAAAAGTGTTAAATCTTACTGAAACATTTGTAGGATTTTTTTTGTGAATGTCAAGCGTATAAGTGCATAATTATTTGAAGAAAGAAGTCGAAGAACTAAATAGATTTCCTTCTTTTTCAAGGTCGGTCACGTTTGGTGACCGCAAAGCCTTCCAGCAACGGACCATTTAAAATAAAATTGTAGGTAAGTATTTTAGTGAACACCAAAGTTCAAGCTGAACCAAGCGAACTAAACTCCACACCTCTACCTGAGTGTAGAGGTGTGGAGAGTGTGGTGCACATACCTGAGTGTAGAGGTGTGGAGAGTGTGGAGAGTGTGGTGCACATACCTGAGTGTAGAGGTGTGGAGAGTGTGATGCACATACCTGAGTGTAGAGGTGTGGAGAGTGTGGAGAGTGTGGTGCACATACCTGAGTGTAGAGGTGTGGAGAGTGTGGTGCACATACCTGAGTGTAGAGGTGTGGAGAGTGTGGAGAGTGTGGTGCACATACCTGAGTGTAGAGGTGTGGAGAGTGTGGTGCACATACCTGAGTGTAGAGGTGTGGAGAGTGTGGAGTGTGGTGCATGGAGTGTGGGGTCTGCTGGGGTGGGGCTGGAGAGGAGCTGGTGCTGGCTGGAGACCCTACGCCAGGAGAGGTCTGCACACAAACATTCAACTTATATTAACAATACATAATATCTGTACATTAATAGCTTATAATATATTCTTATATTATTAGGTTATGGTAACAAATATCTTCTTTTAATCTTAACTGGACTTATTACTTGTATCCTGACTTGTTTATTTGTATCTTAACCAGGCATATTAATTTTATCTAAACAAGTTTTGAGACACGTTTCAAGTTAAGACATACCGTACTGTATTTATTCCATGTTCAAGATATGACAATATATACCAAGTTCATTTGTTTTTATTAACAATATATCAGCTGAGGCTTTTACATCTTAGAACAAATCCCAATTTAGAGCCAAACTTAGGCTACCCTAACATGGTTCAGTTAAGTGGCAGCTTCATATATATCAAGGCTACATTATATCTGTTTCATATGTATAATGATTAAATTCTTACTAAGAAGTATATAATGCCATTTAATAGCAACCAATGCAAAACTTATATCAGAATATGCAGAAACAATCAATATCTGTAATGAGATCGTGTAAAAATGTTTTGTTCCTATTCCGTGTGTTTGAGAATAAGCTGCATAACACATGCCACACAAACATTTAGGCTATACTCTGGGCCTGTATAATAAGACAACAATCTCATGCTATCAGGATATTTCATATCAATTGAGCTCTTTTAAATTCCTGCATACCTTAAATTTTTCTATTATATCTCTTCTTTTCTTTCTATGCTGTGGCCCAAAGGGGGAAATTGGTCTAAATTAAACAGGTGGTCTAAAATAAACAGTTGGTCTAAAGTAAACAGACGGTGTAAAGTAAACAGGTGGTCTAAAATAAACAGTTGGTCTAAAGTAAACAGATGGTGTAAAGTAAACAGGTGGTCTATATTAAACAAGTGGTCTAAAGTAAAGAGATGGTCTAAATTAATATATATAGCATAAAAGTGTAGCACGGTAAACTGCTTGAGGTATTCCTTCTTGGCGACTTCAGTCTGGTCTAAATTAAACTTTTAAACTGAAAATTCACCAAACTGACTTGTAAAGTTACTCAGGGCAACTTAATTCTTCCCTAAATCGGAAGTGGTGGGAAAGTCTATAATTTGTCCACTTGAAATGGAATGCAAGTCACGAGTCACTAGTCAACTTGAAGTAAGTCATTCAACAGTTATTTTTATGACACAATCGAGTAAAAAATCTTATTTAATAAATTATATATGATATAAATTATCAATAATATTTATAATATTGGTAAATGAATATTATCATTATTAATTATAATATAATTGCAAATTATTAATAATAATATTTATAATAAATAGTAAATGAATATTATCGTTATTAATTATAATATAAATGCAAATAGGGGATGAAGTGTGTGGGGGAATTGGGTGACCCATAGTGGATTGTTGAGGTGGCATCTGGGGGTTGAGTCCTCCAGGATATCCCCCAGTGGCGGGGGCACCGCCCCCGTTGTAGGCGTAGTGTGGGGGGAACCCGGGGGCTCCACTGGCATACTTGGAGTCGCCCTCGCCTCCCTGCATGGTCAGTTCATGGTTAATCATTTTATATATTATTATTTCATGGAGTTTCCTTCAACAATTTCTCAATTTTATTAATTCATTGTCTATTTTTTAATACAGGAGTTAACAAAATAATTTAAAATAATAAAAACCAAATTTTAATTTAAAAAATCATAATTAAAGATATTTAGCAGGTATACAATACAGAAGTAGCATGAAGTTATAGTCTTTGATATTCATGAAGTTTCCTTCAACAATTTCTCAATTTTTTGTCAATTTTTAGATAGTGTAGCTAAGAAAATAATTTTGCATAAACAAACTTTTAATTAAAAAATCATAATTAAAGATCTTTAGCGGGGATACAATACAGAAGTAGCAACAAGTGATAGTCTTTGATATAAGTCTGAGAAAAAGTTAATTAATGTACAGCCTCATTATCTATACTATGGGAAGTATGGAGAACTAACGTCAAGTTTGTTAACAAAAGAAATGGAATAGAAGCTCGAGTTTGGCACTGTACAATAACAAGGTAAGAAATAACTTTTACATACAGTATATTATTAACAAATAAAAATACCTTTTATAGTACATTATAAACAAATAACTCATTATCTTAAAAAAAAGAATAAGCAAAGGGAAACATTTCAATTTCAAAGAAAGAGAAATATTCATTCTACAAAAAAATTCTAGCCCAAATTTTTTGTTTTGACTTCAATTCCATTAAAATTTATTACAAACAAATAACTCTAATTTTATAACAGAGGTGTGCTTCAAATAGTTTCTCAAAAAATCAGCTTTAATACTTTGATACTTATTTTGGATGTTTCTGCTGCTCACAAACATACAATGGACAAATGCTCATAGCCTCATAACAATAACATGGTAATATAAATTAGATTGGCAAAAAGTACAGATGCTCACAGCAATAACATGGTAATATAAATCAGATAGTCTTACTAACCTTAGAAACAAGTGTAGCACGGTAAGCTGCCAGCTGTTTGAGGTATTCCTTCTTGGCAACTTCAGTGCGCTTCTTGTAGACGTTCTTGGTGTCAATTTCTAGTGAATCCCAGAGCGATGCAACAATTTTTGACACCTCACCAAAAGAGGCGTTGGGATTCTGGCCACGAATGTTGGCTTGGGTGTCACGGAAGAACAGCGCGTATGCCGACACAGGCCTGAAATTAAAAACAACTGTTAACATACTAGACTTGGTAAACTTGTTGTCAAGAGAAAAATAACCATATTTATAGGTTGAAAATTAGGTTAATGTAAACATGAGTCATGCAGCAATTGTGGCAAACATTCAAATTGTATTGTTGTGCAAAGATTTTGAAGAATAATATATTTATTATAATTTTTCAACAAACTATTTTTGCAATAAGACAATTTCAGCAGTTTAACATCAATTTAGTATTTTTTACCTACACCTGCATCTCCCACAAAAATATTCAGACAGCCTATCACAAAATCAACCACCAATAAAATTCAAATATGAAACTACACTTCGTATGTCTTTAAATATGTATAATATGTAGGTACCTATATAAGAAGTGAAAACGAATGTAAATAAATATACAAGCATTATGAAATGGTCTAGAAGATGACTAACTTGTGAGAAAGAATTTAATATAAATATGTAACTACACTCACTAATACTACAAATGTAACAATTAATTCAGACTTACTTATGAGGTTCATTGGGATCTTTTTTCTTTTTATTTTTCTTGGATAGTTTAGGTTTCTTGCCGCGTCCTGCACCAACACCAGCCATGGCATCACCCCCGTCAGGTGAAGGCCGCTTGTTGTGACGGGTCAAGTCATCATTGGAATCCTCTGACCCCGGGGATGGGGACTCCCCAGACACGGGTGACTCTGTGGGTATGGATGAAGGGACACCCCCCATGGGGGGATGGTAGTAGCCCCCCATCATTGAGTGTGGGGTCGAGTAGACGGGACTGCTCGGAGACATCATACCCTGGTGTGTCATGTAGCTTGTGGAGCTGAAAAGTAAGATATAATTGCTACATACAAAATATATACAACAACAATTGTGAGATTGACTAAAAAAACCAACTTAAAATGACTAGCTGCATATATACCTTTAACTTATTGTCTTTGCACGTGAACAATTAATAATGTATATATATAGGCACATATTGGCATAATTTGACAGAAGCTTTCCTTTTATGCAAGTTTGATTCAAAACCAGAGCATGCTTTTATTAATAATCTTCTTTTTAATTTTTTTCAAATATGTCAAACAAAACCTCTCAGTGCCAGCAAGAAATTTTGTTCTACACATTGAAAACACAAATCAGTAGATTATTAATGAAAATCATGCTCTGGTCTTCAATCAAACTTGCAATACCTATACATGGGTACGGTATGTATACATGCACATGTACCTACATATTTTTATGATCTTCTAACTAATAGGGTAAAAAGACAATCCCTGTCAAAAAGCAAACAAGTAGTATATTATAAAACCACCCACTACTAAAAATTAGTTCCATCAGATTTTTAATGGGTGAGGAAATAATAATTTACACTATACATAATGACAATTGCCCAAGTGGAGTAGAAATTGTAAGAAATTATCCCTTTTAAGAAACAATAAGTAATAGAGGTCACATTAACTGGGATTAATTTATCTATAAAAGGATATAAGGTTTGTCTGATTGGTCAGTTTGGAGCATAATACAGATGTTATGAATAATAGTCAAGAAATTCAGAATTTTGGCAATTCTACTGCATTGAAAAATAAGATACTTTAAGTAATTTGCCATGTAAATGTAATATTTCATAGTTTAGTGCATTGATGTAGCCATAACTTTTGTGGTTTGAGATCTCTTGATCAATAACTACAGATAATCAATGAAACAATTTTTATTGTTTCATGAATTTTGAGATGAATAATGAAAAAATAATGCATTGGAATGAAACAAGGAACACAAGACGGGACAGCATGCAATACAGAAATGAAGCAGAACAAAGCAAGGCAGGGAAATTACAAGCTTTTGTCACAAGGTAATGAGAGGTCTTGTCTTCCATACTAATCTCATCCTGCCTATTAAAAAAAATTTGTTCTCTTCAAAATGACATGAAATATATTGGTTTTTAATATTTCTAATTGATCTACAGCTTTTCTTGCATATGTTTCTATTCATTTTGTATTAAAGAACAACCTCAGTACAATGTTATGCTCTTCCAAAGTAAATATGAACTTGATAAAAAATTTCAATCAGTTGCAATTGTAATCTGGTCATAGATAACTGCAAGTCAAAGAGAAAATAAACCCAAAGTTAATTAGCACTAATTAACACATTTACATTCGTGTTTTGGTCAAGAGCTGGACAGGGTTGGTAACATAACTGGACAGGGGTTGGAAATCCAGACAAAATTATTTTTTGTACTCTGTAATAAGTTTGTACTAGAAGAAACAAATGCAAAAATGAATGAACTACATTACTGGATATTCTAAACAATTTTCAAGTTCATTAGGCTAGGGTTAATGCTAGGTGTGTATAAAACACTGCATTATATTGCTAAACACCTTCCTACAGAGGTTAGAACCAGCCAGGTCAATTTTTTATATTTTCTCACAATTTAATAAAGGTCCCTGGGTGCAAAATAATCATAATCCAGGTAAGTGGAACTTAAAACTCACCAAGCCATAATTGAAACATAGGCTCATTCAATATGCACATTTATTGCATTAAAAAATTTGTTACAAATGGTAATTTAGATATCATGCAAACAGCAAGTTTAACTTTGAAATTCACTGGTTTGATGCAGGAATTTGGTAAGAAAACTCACCAAGCCAGGGTGTAATTCTGAGAGGACTGGCCATGCAAGTAGCCATGTGGCAACATACTGGTGAAATTAGATTCAATTGGATTCAGTTGAATTCAGCATAAAAATATAATTATGCCAGGTAACAAATAGGATGCTTTTAACAAGACTACAATGAAGCTGGCAAGAAGCCTAAAAATAATAAGGAACAAAATGTAGGAATATAATATTAAATAGGGAAGAACCATTTTGAATTTGAATGCCAAGAATTATTAACTTCACACAAATGTTTCAAGCCAAACAGAAGTGCAGATTTATGCTATAATTTATAATATAACATAAACCTAAAGGTATATATAGTTGCTTTGATAAAAAGAAGCAAAACACGCTGGAGGGAATAAATAGCAATAGAAGGAGAATTTGCATTCATTATGGTGTAACTTGACATGACATAAAAAATGTTAGGGATATTTTTACTGCATGGAAAAGTATGGCAAAAAGCGGGTCACAGAAGTGCAAAAGATTCACAAGAATAAAACAAAAAGAACAGAACATTAGAAACTGGAGAAATTAAAATTTAACACTAAGTCACAACAAATTAGCAAATCACATCAGGAAATAATGATAAAAACAACAACTTATACAAATTTTTCAGAAAATGAAGATATATGTAGCATTAATAAATGGCTTCCAGCATGGAATGAAAACTGAAACAGCATGGAATGAAAATTGATTTTAACCTGTTGGCAGCTACCTGTTCATTGTAACTGGAGCAGATGCATCTTGGTACTCCATTGCATAAAACTAATCAATTTAAATTGATAATCCTGACACTTTGTTTTTCTGAGAAAACCTAATTTCTCAATATAAATAAATAAAAACTTCTGCAGAATGAAAGGTTTTTTCAACTTACTGAAAACTTATCAATAGCTCACATGAATCTAACCCAATCTTTTCCAAACATATTCACATGACACCAGGTTGTGAAAAGTCCTACTTTTTTTCTGAAATATTGTGGCTCTAACATCCTATAATTTTCATAGGTACGTATCAAATCTTGTGGCTCTACTGTCATGTATCTTTGTTTGATTGAAAAAAAATTGCAGTTTGCACTTTGCAAACATGTCATTTCATAAAATTCAACTTCCGCAATCCGCATTACTTAATAATGGTCCGCCAAAATATCCTGCAGAACGTAGTCATTGTAATGATAAGAAGTCAACATAAACCTTTCATTGAAGATTGCGCATAGTTGCGGTCACGTCAGAGCAGTCAGACTGCATTAACATGTGTTCAGCTTACAGTAAAAACAAATGTTATTGTTGCTGCTTGACTGTTTTAGGGTAAAATCAGAGACTTGGGGTAACATGTGCAGGGACTTTGTAAATAAGTTCGCAACTCACAAGTAGCTTTTCATGGCCAAGATATGGAATTAAAGGCTCAAAAAATGGAATCACACCTTTAAGAAATGGAATTATGGCTGTCAAACCCATAAAACCATGGCTTGGAAAATCCATAGGCGGCTTGCAAAGTGGATATATTCCATGCCTGAGGTAAAAGAGAAACAAAGGAGTGAAAGGTCTGACCTCAAGAGCTAGAAAAATGGCTGACTGGATGAGAAACCAATGATCATGAAAGTAAGTCATTATCATTTTTCATGTCATTGATATCATTTTAGAACTAACATAAGTAACTGAGGAATTGAACAAGGACAATTCATGTACTATAGTTAACAAGTATATTGGAGGTAATTTGTCTAGTCAGTAGTTACTCTATTAGGAATCTTGCACTTTGCAGCTTCAAATATGGCAGGAAAACTCTATGTAGTCAGCAGAGTGCAGACATAACTCATTAGAGTCAGAGGGAAAACACATTCTGCACCTGCAAACTAACACCGTAACATGCATCACTTCAAATGATTCAATTTCACCTGTTCTCATTGGGATTATGGCTATTACACTGTGCCAAATTTTATTCACACTCAATAATAAAAATGGCAAACTTTTGCCTAAAAATTTTTAAAAATTGTCTATAAAAGCAGTTTAAACCCATGATATTTAGAAATTTCAGCTCAATATTCTAGAATCTAGAGTACTAGAGTGGCACTGTTGAATTTATAGATTTCACATTTATTAAAAATATGTCATTCAGAAGCCATGAAATTTTAATATTACTATTATTTAGGAAGTATCTAATCATGCTAAAATGAGAAATATTCCTCATAAATTTGGTATCTTGCAGCTAGATGGAGATCTTTGATGAACAAGTTGATAGCTATGAGATAATTCATCAATGTTATGCAGTTCTGCTGCACTTCTGCACTCTGGACTCTGCATCCGCAGGAAATAGGAATCATGTTAGTCATGTAGCTAGGCCTAACTGTAACTCTGTAAGCAAGCATGGAAAACATCTACCTTTGGGGCTGCAACTAGAGCTTTCCCGCCATTTCCAAAACCGCTAGATTTACACCAGATGAATTACCTCCTATCTACTAATTCAGTCTAATTGTTAACAAAAGTTCACAATTGGACCACGAGATTCCAAATGTATCAAATTTTGTCACTTTGGAGCTGCAAAATTTCAGAAGCAAGTAGGAAAAATCCAATTCTGTGTAAGTTGTGGCTCCAAAAATTGTGTTAGCCTATTGTGCCAGCTCTAATAACTAATCATGGCTTGAAAAGTTTATTTATTGATGTATCCCAAGCTACTAACTCTGAAGTTTAACATCTTTTTAATTTTATAATTTGGTAGATTTCATTTTGAGTTTTCTTAACTGCAAAAAAGTAATTGAATAACGACATAATGTGTCATTATGTGAAATTGTGAAGTCATTTGTCTGCACCAATCAATGCAATCATCGCATAAAAAGATTAGAGCAAACTGGAGTTACTGGACCAATTGGCAAATTTAAGAACTTTTGTTCACAATTGGATTATTTTGAATCAACTTCAACTAAATTTGACTGAGTCACTGAGTCAGATTATCAGATTCAGATAAATGATATAGTAAAATGGCTGCGCCTTCGGCGGCTCGGCCTACGCATGTATCAGAATCAGATGACCGTTGAAATGATTAGCCTTGTGACGGTTAATGTGACAACAAATACGCTCACATAAAATAGTTATCTATACTTCCATAAATTGAAATTCATATTTTATTTATCGTATATTTTCCGAAACTTGGCCTTCCTTTTACAATAAATTTGTCCTAAATTTGATGCTCCCGCCGGCTCTCAGCTGTTTCGCAACATTGAAGTACCCGCTAAACTCGAGACTGACATGACTACCCAGCAGTCTTTATAACTATACAGCTAGGCGTTAAAATGACTGTGACAAAAAAAATATATATATATTGTCAAACTATTTTGTTACGCATCTCAAAAAGCTTTTCAAAAGCCTGGCTTTCTAAATAGATCAAAGTAGTTTAGGAGTGTATCGAAGGATTTTTTATGAGATGGTGGTGATTTAGGTGCCTCGGTGGGACTTCATAAATTGGAAGGTGGATTTTTTTAAATACAATTATATTAAAATATATAATTATGCGGTTTGAATTATTGACGCTATTTATTTTTTATAAAGTGGACTTAGCCTGGCCCATTCGAAACATAGCATAATTTTTACAGCTAGTGGAGCTTGAACCTCAAACTCACTGCTCCAATCTTGGTGCCCATTGTTACGTGTTTACGTATTGAACAAATTAGAATAGAACTACTATGCTGTCAATAGTAGGTCATGTGAGGCCAGCAAGCCTTTTATACTTCAGTTGTAAAGCAGATTCCACCAAATACAGTTCCCCGAACTTATAGTCTCGTCTCTGCCCATCTTCATCCTTAGCTAGCTTGGACTTTGAAGTCATACGACTAGCAAACGTAACACCCATAGCGACTCCGTTAAAAAAATCGACATTGAAAAATGTCTTAAATCTCATGCATTTTCCCTCAATAGAAATTATGATACTAGATTCAACAACAAGAGGATCCAAAATAAAAAGCATAATTTTTACAGCTAGTGGAGCTTGAACCTCAAGCTCACTGCTGCAATCTTGGTGCCCATAGCGACTCCGTTCAAAAATCGACATTGAAAAATGTCTTAAATCTCATGCATTTTCCCTCATTAGAAATTATGATACTAGATTCAACAACAAGAGGATCCAAAATAAAATAAAATGTTCGTAAATTTCCAATTCAGCGTAAAACTTACGCAGTTGTGGGGACTTGTCCAGCGATGGAAGGGATATACATTTGCTGGGGGGGAAAGTGGGGGTTGTTGCCGTGGTGGTCAACATTGTGGTGGCCCTGCAAAAATATCAACGACTTGTAGAAATGTTTTCTTTCGACATTATCAGGATCACTAAATTTTAATAAAAACTACTTGAATCCATCCCGAAATTATTTACACGATATGAGTTTTAGTCCACTTTGAAGAAAATAATTGGCAAATGATGCAGTCTAAATGTGTATACATAGTAATTCACTTATGATATATATTGATATTATGTTGTCTACCTGGTGCTGGTACATGGAGTTGGGATGTCCCCCCATGGAGTGCTGTGGAGGCGCGTGGTGGGGGTGTGAGGGGGAGCCGCCCTCCCCCACGCTGCTCCCATCGCTGGGGTTCATTGATGGGTTGTGGAGGGGGGATTCAAAACGCCCGTACTGATGCTGTGGGGGAAATAAAAATAAAAATATATCAACTGCCTTTAAAAAAGGACGCGTGTATCATTCCACAACATTTTGTTACACAAAGAAACACGAGGAATTCAATTATCAACGAATTCGTTAACAGGATAAATAAATTTCCGTGTAAATCATATATTATCGAAAAAAATTGCACCAACGGCAACGCAAGCGCCGAAAACCGGTTTAAATTTGCGCCGAATCAGCGCAGACTCAGGGCAGAAAGCAACGAAATGCGCGGCCGCGGCCGCGGCGACGTCTGGAAAGGTGAGTTTATAGCGAACGTCAGACGAGGATGTAGAAACCGTCGCACGAAAATGTAGGGACTGTCAGACTTAGATGTGAACTCTCGATACGAACGTGCGAATAATAAAGTTCCATGAGCTCGTGGGAGCGATTCCACGATGGATGTAAATATCCCAATGCAGTCGATTCCGTGGCGCATGTAAATCGCACTCTACCTGCGACCGGGGCGCCGCCCTCCCTGGGACCAACACCGCCAGTGGCGACTGAGGAACTTGTTTATAGTGACGACGAAGTTTACAATCATGACTGACGAACTTGTCATTCTTGACTGACGAATTTGTCACTCGTGACTGGCAAAGTTGTCACTCGTCACTGACAAAGTTGTCACTCATCACTGACAAAGTTGTCACTCATCACTGACAAAGTTGTCACTCATCACTGACAAAGTTGTCACTCATCACTGACAAAGTTGTCACTCATCACTGACAAAGTTGTCACTCATCACTGACAAAGTTGTCACTCATCACTGACAAAGTTGTCACTCATCACTGACAAAGTTGTCACTCATCACTGACAAAGTTGTCACTCATCACTGACAAAGTTGTCACTCATCACTGACAAAGTTGTCACTCATCACTGA